CTGCGCTTGCGCCTCACTTATAGTCCTTTTAGTCTTAACTCCTATATACAGAAAGACACACAAATTAATAATCATAAAAGTTATTGAAATAATATTAAAACTACATTACCAGCACTGGACATTTGAATTTCCAAGTTTTTAACTGCTTTCTTCAACTGCTGTATTTCGTCAATGCATCTATCCCAAAATTTAATATCGCCAATCATATTTTTATAAAGTAACAACTTTTTCTCAGGCTCTGCCTTTGACGCTTCTAGATCCTTAACGGCCATTTTTGACTGCGCCACGCTGTTATTGGTCTTCTTCAACTTTTCCCTAAATGAACGAAGAATATATTATACAACTATTACCTTAACTTCAAAGTTTAATCAATATATAATCAGCTCACTCTAATGCTTTCATATCGTTCTCTTCACATCGAATGACTTTCTGGACAATAGGTTTCAGCTGCAACATGTTATCATATTTTTCCTGTTCTCTCCCTAGTTCCCGTTCACACAACTTCAAGCGATCAGGTTGATTACGTATTATATCGGTTTCGATTTCCTTTATTAACTCTGTGACCGTATTTTGTTTGTCAAAATCTCTGTGACACAGGGGACAACAAGGATCCTTCACAGATAATTTTTTAACATATTCCTTGTAGGCTGTAGCTTGATAAGCATAGATTCCTCTCGTGTTCTGAAGTTCCTTTACTTTAGTTGCTTGCATTAACAAATTCTCATCGAAATCTTTGTAATTGCATATTGTGGATATCTTTTCTTTATCATCTAAAAAAAAGAAGGAACATTAAAAATAATCACAAATAAAATTATATATATATGTAATTATAAAAAATGTGTATAGAATATAGTCTTACCGCGTAGTTCTATTGTCTTTTTCTTAATGTCGGATTCTATATGCCGTACAGTTGTTTCGAAAGCAGTAGTTTTACGTTCTTGAGCCTGAATCTCTCGTGTTAAAGAATTGGTTTCTTTTTCCTGAAATTCACAATCGCAGTAAGATTTTATGAACACACAATATGCATAAATGAAAAATTAATTACATACCAATCTTTGGTGAACACGTTCCAAAGTATCTTTTAATTTAGTTTGTTGTAGTTCTTGAACATTTAACAACGTTTTGATGTTATCTCCATGCTTTTTCTTCAAATTTTCCAGCTCGTCTTCTTTAGCTTGTAATGCCGTCTTCTTTAATTCAAATTCCGCCGTCAATGAGCTTAATTTATGCAGAGAAGAAATTTCGTCGTCGATCGCGCTTAAGGTTGCTTCAATTTTGTCTCTCGATTTTATTTTATCTGCAATGTCGGCTTTCATAGAATCCACATTCAAGGCGTTGCTGAGTTCGTCGATTCTCTGCTTCGCCGTTTTAAGTTTTTGTTCGATGGACTTCAATTTATTCCCTGCTGCGCCAATCTAAATTAAAAAAATTGATACAATTTTTTTTCGAAAGCTAAACATTGCTATTATAAAAATTCTTAATAAACCAGTATTACCTGTGTTATCTGGTTCCGAATCGTATCTATTTCTTCTCTTATTTCTGATACTTCGTTTTCTTTAAGAACTTTTTCCGATTCAATTTTCGAATAATTACTGCGCAGCTTATCGACTTCCGTCTGCAACTCCTTTTCCTCTCTTTGCATAGTCAGTCTATTCTGCTCTACTTGTTTTTCTAACGCCCGCATCTTTTCGTCCAATCTTTTTGTACGAGCCTTCACCTCTGCAAACAAAATTTTTACATTTGTTGAGCAATGCAGAGAAAAAGAACAAAGTAATGTAACATCGGTATAATGCATGAATTTAAAAGTACCTATTTCAGATACATCCGATTCCACCGAATCAAAATCCCAAGCTTGTAGTGCGTCATTTAACAACTGATTGCGACGAGCGATCCTTTTCTCATGATCGTTCACCTGTTGCTTTAATGTACCTACGGTTTCTCTTCGTGTCGCTAAAATATTCGAGATCTTAGTCCCTTTCTCCGTGATACTTTTAACCTGGGTTTGATTCTGCGAAGAAAAACCAACATATGTAACATATGCAAAGATACTGTCGTAATATTCGTTCATACCTCTGTGATTTCGACGTTCTTTTCCTTTAATGTACTGCCGTACGATTCAACGAGCTCGTTTAATTCCTCTGTTGTTCCGTCGAAGATATTGTTTACAGTTTCTTTCAGTTTTTCATATCGATCTTTATGCATACTGTATTCCATCTTCTTTTTCTCTGTTAAAATAAGACAACAGTTTTTCCCCTTGCTCTGCATATCAGCAAATTTTTGTTTAACTCACCTTCCTCAGCCTGGACTTTCTTATATTCCGTATGAGACTCTTGCACTTCGTTGAGTTGCTGTTTCACGGGTTCGAGCATTTTATCAATTTCACTTATCTTCTCCTTCGTGGTATTCAGTCTCTTCTTGTGCTCCTCAAGTTTAGCCTCTTTATTGTCCACTTCATCCACGAGTACTTTGAAGGTCCGTTTTTCTGCGTTTAGACTTCGAACATCGTTTTGCAACTCTTTCTGAAGCTTTAAAATAGTCTCCGAGGCTTTGTTGAATCTTGTACTGTTAAATATGTCATCGAATCTGTTCTTTAACATCGCCCCCTCTGTAAACGGCCAATTGAGCTCTTCTTGGTGGCAGAATATGACGTAGTTCAGGATAGATTTTGAAACGCCCAGCACCAAACCAACTTCTTCATCAACATTGACACATCGACTGGTTATCGATGATTTCTGTCGGGGTAAATGAAGTAATTGAGATAGAAGAACTCGAGTAAGGTACAATCTACAAAACTGGATGGTGGATATTCCAAAGTAGGCCATTCACCTGTGTTTTATCCTTGCTTATTGTGGTCAGAGTGGTGTCCAGAGTTTTAAGCTTCAGAGTTCTTTCTGTCTTCGTCAATTC